TATACATGTGTATTTCACACGACCTTTAGCTGCCAAATTGGTAGCTATCCATCTTATAACGACTCAAAACGGGGTGATATTGACTAAGTGGATTGATAAAGACACTAAACCTTCCCCATACTTCTGAACCGAAAATAATTAAAAGAAGTATGGGGAAGGTTTAGTGTCTTTATCAATCCATTTCGCTGCCAATGTCTTGATCACAGTTTTAATTTGTTTTAGAATGAAAAACCATGTGTTGATTGTGTTGGTATCTCGGTAGATCTCGGGAAATCATACACAATTTGAAGTCAATAATACTGTAGGTCTTCAGCTATAGCTAACCGACTGATGTCCTCGTGAATTACCATGTGTAACACATAATGTGTCAACGATATAGTCGTGGTTTTGCCAATATTGCCACTTGCCAGTTAATATGTTAAAAAAACATAAAGTCTATTGAAATATCTACAAAGCACTTAGGCCCAATTGCACCGTCAAAATTAAGTATCCCTTAAAGTTAAGCATAACTTAAATACCATAGCAACGATTGTCTTAATAATCGTTGCCATAGATTTTAAGTTCGACTTAACTTTAAGCAAGGCTTAATTTTGTTGGTGCAACTGGGGCTTATAGACGCAAAATTAATGTCCTTTCATATGCAGTGCAGCAGGATTTTTTTTTTTGGTTGAATCACCCTTCTCGAAACAAGGTTTTGACTTTTTAAGTGAACTCGACAGTTCTTAGCAAAATATTTAACTGACCAACCAACGGCTCATAACACAAATTTAACTTACCTACTGAAGATTTATCCTTTTCTACTCAAAACTGAATTGAAACTTTGATCGATTTTCTTTCTCGCACAATTAAACACAATGTCGCCATAAATTTTTGGATCTATTGTCTAAAAAATTAAATAGTGAATGAATTCAAAGTTACATTTCCATTTATACATTTTACTATTTATGTTTTTTTGTACAAATTTCTAATTAACTGCTTTAATTTTCGTGGCCACGGTTTTTTGAACTAACCTGAACTCAATATGGAATCTAATAACAAATATTAAGCACAATTTTTTACACACAGTTCAGCTTAAATATAAACATAAATTGATCCACTAAATTGCAGTTTGCAGTCAGAAAAATTTCTTCGGTGAATTTTCAAATGATGCAAACGTTCTTTGGGCGTAGTTTTTTAACGGTGAATTCTGGCGTTTAAGAGTTATGGTCAACTCCCAATCTTATCATCAGAAGTGTTATGGGAAATTGAAACTTTTTCTATATTGCAATGGTGTGCGGTCACTACGCCACCCACAAAACACTTTTCAGCTAACCCAACCAAACCAAATTGAAACTTAGAATTTTATAATCTCTTCTCGGACACATTCGGCGTACTGACTAAAAACTTTTCAATTTGAGACTCGACGGTCTCGATCAACTTCCGAAAATTCCAAAGAATTTATTACACAACTTTCGATTAACACCTGAAATAAATTATGGGCACGAATAGCCATGAAGACTCATTAGTTACTCAATTAGTTAACTGAAAATGCCAAAAATTTATTCCGAAACATATGAACAATTAAGACAAAATCCCTGCAAGAAAAAAAGGCGTACAAAGATTGTTTGGACATGATACCCCGCACACAGGCGGGTTATTTAAAATTTAAAAAATCTAAAATTACATACGACTAAGTTTCGCTTTTTTGTAATAATCCAAATAATTTGGTCGTAAAAGGTTTACGATACTCAGACGCACTTATAACAGGAACAAAAACACTCACTGACAGCTTCAGGAAACAGCTTTTTTATTAGCAGCCTTGTCTGAAACCCCGACCACTTAAAAAATAAGTTCCAAAAACTAATAAATTAATTAAACTGGATCTTGATAAATAAGCTCAGAAATTTTCGGTGGCTGCTCGGTCGATAGAATCCTTTAACTTTTAATGAAAGACAAATTCTCTAGAAAGGTTTCACTAAGCAAACAACTGCTTTGTTTACTTACACTCAAACTAACTTTTTGTGAAACAGTTTTTAACAAACTGTCCACCAACTTGCTTCACTTGACGATAACTTAAATATTTTATTGAGAATGTTTAAGTTCATCTACACACTTCATATCAAAACCGACGAACTGCAGCATCATCTTTACGTTGAATCCACTATTTAAGGAAATACCACTTCCACTACTTCATCTTCGAAAATTTTCAAAAACACAGCTAATCACAATTATTAGACATTATAACGCTAGCTTCAAACGAACGCACCATTCTTCGAAACACCTTACCTCTTCTAACAGCGATAGGAACACGTGCGTGAATCGCCTTGATAATAAAACTCCTTATCGCAAACAACCAGATGTAACTAACCTAAACCATCTAAATTGAAAAATTACAAAAACGATAAGATTTAAACAAGAAAATATTACGCAATTACAAACAATTCTAAAAGGAAAAATTGCACTGAAAGACAAATTCAAAAACAATAAACTAATCCCCCAAACTTACATCTAATAAATTGAAATATTCTCGTATACAGAACGTTTAGACTGAAATAACGTTGACGTTGTTTACACAACAATATTATCCTAGACAGGAGAAATCTTCACTAAATACTTAACAATTTTACATTTTTTTACGACTACGAAGTCCAATCCCCTTTTTAGTTTCACGGGCAGAAAACAACTGCACTGAATTTTTAAAAATAGCTATTTATAGCAAAGAACATATTGTGTCACGCTTAATTAATTCGCCCTTGATCACGTCTGCGGATCTCCTTGATGCGACGGAAATACGACTCAAAATAGATGTACCGTGCATCCCATTTTGATCGAGACTATAATGTATTTCAGCTGTTTTTAAAGATAGAAACTCGCGGATTTCGCGACCATATACCACTTGTAATACCACAAACAGAGTCAACTTACCTATATTTGTTTCCGAGATACAGGGTACTTACTCGTGTAAGATACAAAAATGTATAACTGCCTATTTTGAATATTTTTCGTAGAACCCAGTTGTGTAGTAAAAAAAAATTTTTGGAACATCGTTTCTGAAATATGACCCAAACTTGGTATGCAACACCATGAATATCTTAACGTGAATTTTTTGCATATTTTTCCTGATTGCATTGATGTATCCCAACTTATATTTTTATATATAATCATATTTTGGAAGATTTTTAGTTGACAAGTTTCTAGTCTCAACCATTTTTACTGATTGCATTGGTTGCCTTAGTTACTGCGGATACAATAAACAATAAAATTTCTATGAATCCATGGCTTACTATTTAAAAATAGTAAAAAAAGTAAGGTTCTATCTTCATGGCTAAAATTAAAATAAAAGGTAATGAAAAATAATGCAAAACAATTGACGTTAAGATGTACAGGGTGTTGCATTTAAAAAATACCAACACAGGATCAAATCTCAGAAACGGTGGTCCAAACATGTTATTCCTACACCACTAGATTTTATGTAAAAATATCTAAAATAAGCAGTTTTTATATTTTTTTTATCTGGTAGTAAGATACGATAACACCCCAAAAAGTCAAAACAAACGTAGCTAGATTGAGTCTGTTTACACTGAGCACAATTCTTTGCTATACAGACAATTTGTACTCAAAGGACTTCTCGTAGGAAAAGTAGTAGTTTTAATTTCTTGCAAACTATATGTTGACTGCTGCATCTGAGATTTGTTAACAAAATTTTGCAGCGCAATCTTCAAACCTTAAAAAAATAACAAGTTAAAAAGTAATCGTAAACGATTTACATAAAGCGCATTTCCACTTGCATTCATTTCCCATTTGTAAGATGCAACTTCTGTTAAAATCGTAAAAATCCATTCACAAATATGAAAGATAACGTTGCACATGAGCAATCCATTTTTGACATGCTATTTCAATTTCATTGCTTTTCTAAATAAGAAAGTTGGAACTGCGCATGCGCAAACCTAAATTTGGAAACTAATGTTAGATTTTCCTTTGTTCCAAGCGCCAAAGTATCAAATTTCATTTAAATGCTTCCATAAATAAAAAAGTTGACACTGCGCATGCGCAAAACCAAATTTTGAAACTGGCGTTAGATTTTCCTTTATTCCAAGCGCCTATGTATCAAATTTCATTTAAATTCTTCCATAAATAAAAAAGTTGGCACTGCGCATGCGCAAAACCAAATTTTGAAACTAGCGTTAGATTTTCCTTTGTTCCAAGTGCCTATGTATCACATTTCATTTAAATTCTTCCATAAATAAAAAAGTTGGCACTGTGCATGCGCAAAAACAAATTTTGACACTGGCATTTGATTTTCCTTTATTCCAAGTGCCTATGTATCAAATTTCATTTAAATTCTTCCATAAATAAAAAAGTTGGCACTGCGCATGCGCAAAATCAAATTTTGAAACTAGCGTTAGATTTTCCTTTATTCCAAGTGCCTATGTATCAAATTTCATTCAAATACTTTTATAAGAAAAAAAGTTTGCAATTCGGTTTATAAATGGTCGAGATGCGAAAAGGGCACTGTGAATTTTGAATCGATTGGACGCAACTTTTGGCATTGCGTATTATATGGCTAAGGCGGACAAACCAACAGACAGACGACAGACAACAATACAAAATTATAAATGATCTCTAGGATGGTTAATAAACGGCAAAAGTGTAAAATTATGGAACATGTAAAAACGGTTTGTTGGTTTTTTTGCAATAACTTTTTTAGCAATAAACGCAAAAAAAATTCCTTCCTTGGTGCAAGCCTCGACACCATAACGAACCAAATAGCGAAAAAAGTAGAACAATAGCTCTTAAGATAAAGAACTAGTAGCGTCGCAAAAGTAGCGGACGGACGGACGGACGGACGGGCGGACGGACGGACGGACGGACGGACAAAGTGGCCACAATAGCGCATTTTTTTTTTATTTTTGTGGAAATGCGCTAAAAATCTTTAATAACTCCGTAATTGCTAATCTCTTTTAACAACTCGCGACATTTTCAAGTTTTCGTCAATGACTTTTCGAATAAAAATAAGTCTATAAAATTTTGTACTGATCTTATTATTGGGAGTTTTTTATCTAATAAAGCGTTAGAGCTCAAACGTAACTTATTTCTACTGACAGTATCGCTGTTGGTACGTAAATTTTAAATTCTACATATAAGGTCACTAGTATTGATAAAATCTGTTAACCTAAAAGAACCAACCCGATTTTGCTTGGAAGATGCAAGGGCGTAGGAAAGAAGATATACTCGTAGTCTTTCTCAACTCAATGTTAAACATTTACAAAATTCGTGCAAAGGTGACTGGTTAATAGGTGTATGTAGCAAACTGGATTTCTTATAAATTGCTGAGAACAACAATTAGCGATGATGCTGGTGACCATAATGGCTTCCGCCTCCATGGTGACCGTCACCTCCATGTTGGGCACCACCTCCGTGATGACCTCCACCTGCAGCATGTTGACCGCCACCGCCGTGATGACCTTTACCTCCATGATGGCCGGAATCATGATCGGGGATGGCATCTCCAAAAGCCACTTGAACTATACAAAGCATCGCCATGGCGACTACCAAGTACACCTTCAACAGGAAAATTATTTACATTTAAAGGAATAATTTATAAACGTTACCGCAATTGTTCGAATCATTTTAAGGCGCAATGCTCACTTTATGAACTGATTGAGGATGAGATGTGCAAGAAATTTATAGGCGATCCATAAACACGTGGATCGCACTTCTCTCGTCCTTTATTTACTTACGGCGCAATATGAAATGTTAAAAGTGACATTCTTTCATAACTAATCGACCATTGAATATTAATAATTAACATGGAATAAAAGTGGTGTATCAATTTACGCCATATTTCTCTGTAATTATTAGCATTACAAATGTTTCTAAAGAGTTGAATACTGCGCGCAAAAAAATTGCTTAGAGAAAGAGACGAAAGCCCTCGCGAAAGCCTTTCCGTTCTTGGATGTTTTGGTAACTACTTGTGGGTTTATTTCCGTCACCATTATACCAATTATAAGTATATAAATGAATTGTAAAATTTCAGAGACAAAGTTTAGCACTCATAATGCACGGCTCTTCCACTTAACCTCTGTTGAAAAACAAATCCGGCGTAATTATACTATAAAAATGTAAGAATCGCTTGTATACCGTATTGCGGTGTATTGGCCCCTGTGCCGTAGGATGGTAGGATTAAGTGATGTACATCCGACCTGAAGCTTATGTTTCCCATAGATGTGACGGGGTCTTGGTGGTTAAAACCTTATACTAACAGATCAGATAGATCAGAATGGCTATAGAAGTCTATACAATAAGTCAACAACGACCCAGTTGTCTACTTAGTAGGGGAGCTAGTACGAAATCCACTGAACGAGAATGATCAAAATTTTAACCGATGGAGTTCCATTTTGCCCTATCAGAGTATGCTAAAATCGATCGTCTGCCGCCTCAGGTCATACGACTTAAGGCGCTGCGGGTACTTCTTGTGGTACCAATTCTGAAAGGTTGTTTTTCGAAAAAATAACTTATACACCAAATGAAAACGTTGATAATAGCTCTTAAAAAAATATTTTAAAAAATCACGCACATTTGATAACTCCGTAAAAAAATAATCCTTAGTCGGTTTTTCACGAACTTTCTACGGTTATAACTATATTTTTTGTGCATAATATTTGAAGGGATTTTTAAAATCAAATGACACTTTTTCCCCTACTAGCTAGCATAATTATATTTTAAGTCTGAAGTTTCGGTTTTTTTATCATTATAACTACGTTCCAACGGTTCCATACAATTCACATCTCGACCTAATCTGGTAACGGGTTGTCTTTAACCATAAACAACCCTTATTTTCAAAAATTCAAAAAAATGAAATCAAAACGAAGAAAGTGGTTGCAATAGCGTCCCCAACATGTTATCTTTACAATATGAGATATGTTGCCTTTACTAGAATCATTTGTAAATAAAATTCTAAAAATCATATCTCTATCGGTAAGTTGACATTGCTCAGTTTGCGTATGGCACATTTGATTTTTACTATATGCGCTGTTTTTCTTTAGTAGCAACATGCGTATGCGCTTATATCTGATTTTTATTACATGCGAAATGTTTGACTATAGTAGAAGCGTGATTAACATTTCAACAAAATATATTAATAAATAAGAAAGGTGATATTGCACAGCCTGCGCATGCGCACGTTATTCGTCAAGATTTTTCTTGGCGCCGGTGCCGGAGTTATAAGATCCAAAAAGAACGAACTGAATATTGAAAACTGTAGAAGTATAGTTAAGGCAACAGCGCACCCAACTTCGTTGGTAAATACGCCAAAAATGGGGTTTTAACACGTATAAAAACGTTTTTAAAGTACTTGAAACACTTATTAGATTCCCTTAAATTATTTCAAGTGCTTCGAAAGCCGTTATAGGCATACTGGGATACAAACCGTGTAGGTAGGATAGGTAATGAATTACAGTTTTAAGGGTGTCAAAACTAGATCCACTTGAAATTAGGTCTATGCATTGTTCTTATGTAGTACATGGCTTGCCAAAAGCTCAATATTTTATTGGTCACTATAGTAAATCCAAATCACTTTCCCTTTTGAACCTACGAATGTGTAATTTTTCCGCTTTTACAAAGGCCTTTTTCAGACCCTTGAAATTGACAAGGTTAAAACGAGTACCGATGAAGAATGTGTAGCGCACTTGACGTAACTAATAAGGTGTTTTTTTATTCCGCATTGTTGATTAATATGGCATAATTTATCTAATGCTTACCAGTGGCGTAACTAAGGTGGGCTACGTACCTTGGCAAACGTAAGTTTTACGCCCCCCCCCCTCCCCTCCACAATAATTGGCAAAGAGATTTTCTATTGCTACAAATTTTTAGAGAAGTGAAAATATATAGTGTTCACGGCGAAGTCGGCACCATTGCTAACTTTGTTATTATTGCAGCTACCAAGTTGGTTATATTAGCAAAGATGAAGCGTTTTTTCTCACGATCGCAACCGTCGAATCAGAAAAATTTATTTGGTCCAGGGGAAAACGAATAAAAATAAAACAGTATTTTGAATTTTGATAAATCAGTTCAGGAAAAGTATTCAGCGCGACGCGTGAGGGAGGGGAGGCGACAATAAAAATAATGAGAAAAGGAAAACTACGCCGCGCCCCTTTCCTGCCCTGCGCCCCTTGGCGCTGCCAAGGCCGCCAAGTCCTTATTTACGCCACTGATGCTTACGTTTGTATCTAATTACAAACATTGAATTAATTTATGTGTGTTATATAAAAATATCTTCTTCGATTGCGTTATTAAACTGGTGGTATATCGTCTACGTCATATTTTACGTTAGAATTTATTTACTTCACACTTTTTTTTCTTTTCTAACGATAACTACCGAAACTCGCGTTGTTATTGTTTACTTACAAACGCAAATACAGGCCGTGACGTCTAAAACTTGAACCTAGTTCAAAAACTTTATTAAGACTCTCTCGCGATTAAAATGCGAATTAATTAACAACTACACATCGATTGCCCTGGTAGTCTAATGAATCCCAAAGGCTTCCCCAAAACTAGTTCCCACTATTATTTTTACTTACTACCCCTTTTTAATATTGCGTGTAATAACTAGGTACGCAATGTTTTTTAATTGTGCCAATTGGAATCGTTATATTCACGAAAACAGAAGAAAGAGGTGGGGCCAACTATCGAAATCTTGCTGAATAATGTCCTTCTGATCAAGAGAGTGACCTAATGGTGAGCTAGCACTTGTTACCCTAATTAAGAAGACCAAATATGATATAAATCCCAGACATCTCGGCTCCAGAGACTTCCGAAGCCCATTAAAAAACAATGTTCCATAGAAATTAAACGACGCAAAAAAGGCATCACATTTCCAACGCGGTTGCAAACTGTGAATATCAATTATTTGGAAAACTTGCTAAACTTTGATACTCTGTGCTCCTGTCTGTGCCCAAACTACTCAAGCCCCTATAGTTTCAAAAAATTCAACTTTACCTAAATCTCTAAAAATTGGAAAAAAAGTTCAACATAAAAGTCGCCGTTACATTATGTAACATTATACAAACTACTTAGTAAAGTAGGTACCCGTCGTTAAATGGAAGTATTACAGGCTCTTAACGCGATAAAAAATAATCAAAATGGTTGTAACGTCAAATACTTCGGATGCAGGACACTGTACTTCCCATTCCAACGTACACCTTATATACCGCGTGTTAACCAAATTAGGCTCATCCCTCTAACTTTGACAGAATTGACAATATGCATATAAAATTTTAGTGAGCGATATTAGGAGTAAGAACGACTTGAATACTATTTAAAGCAGTCAACTCGTTTTTACTCATAAGATTATCGACTAAAATTGTACATTCCCATCAGTTCTCCCATAGTTAGGTATAGGTTAACTATAAGTATGATTTTTTAAAGAAAATTAATAAGTTGCAATTTATCGGTACTTAAGGGAACTTAATGATGGGAGACAATATGTAGAATAGTGCCAGGTAGTTTCTTTTGCATTCCTTGTTAGGTAATGAATTTGCCGCATGAGGTATTTTCGGGTGCTAAGTAGTCTATCTTTACGTCGTCGGTTTGATTTTATTTTGTAAATCGCGGAAACTATTTTTTAAATATTTTTAAATAAGAATAACAGGTGTCATTAGAATGCACAATTATTTGTTTCACTTTATCTACCCTTACGGTTAAAGTGATCACTGTATCTATCCTTACGGTTAAAGAACGGCTTAGCCTACTCATTCAAACCTATTAAAATGTCAATTTAACATGTGGTATAAAATAAACGATTTTTGTATTCACAGATCTAACTAAAAAACTAAGACCGATAATAAAACTATTTTTAACTACATACGTCCAATTCGTCATTACAAAGAATATCCACTATCGCCAATTTGTAAGACTACAAAGCAGCGTTTTATAAGAACCTTTACCTACCTGTTTTTTTCATATATGGGGGATGGACTATAAAGGGGCCTTAAGTACGAGTACTGGATAATACGGAAAAAAGAATCTGGCAAAAATATCAAAGGACTAATCTACCAAAAGTATTAAAACACAGTAAATGCAACATAGTAAAGTGATTCTAGTGGTGGCGCCACCACTGCACTTTTTATCCGGAGTATCATCTTAAGATTTTATGACGGGACTAACGGCGTACCAATCATTAGATAAAGCGCAACAGTATTGCGCCGCTGAATTCCACACAAAATTGTCCGAAATAAATTCGTCTAAAACTCTCGGTTGTAGGTGGTCAGTTCATAAATTGACCTCATTTGCGCAATATAACGAGAAAGACAGCGATAAAAAGAAGAGGGCTCTCTAATGCAAACCAATTTGAAGCCTGAACATACCTAATCCCAGAGCATCGAAACGGGATTGCTTGGGAACCTTATCTTAGATCATTAACGAACAAAGTTCGGTGTTGGTATTAGTGGTCAACTATTATCGATTGAGGGAAAGTAGTTTTCGGAACCTAAATTTTAAACAGCCAATACTCTTGTCCTGTGTCAAAATAATTTACGAACAGGAGTATATTTTCGCTAGGTGGAAGTTGGGTTATACATAGCAAACTAATATCCCAGCATCAGTCGTACGGAATGACTAATGACTACGGTGTTTTGTCTTATTCCCCACCACCCGTTTGGCTAAGTTTAAATTAGAAACGTCTTTTTACAATCTGAGAACGTTTTCTT